CTGAATACATTGTAAGAATTAATATCGACCAACTCACCACTTAGCACTCCCTCTTTTAGCCAAGATTCTACTAAAATTATTATATCATGATTACCTTCCAAGGTATTGTTGTAGAGATCTGTCAACTTCGTGTTCAAACCCCTGCAATTTTGAAAATTTATAGAAATATTTGACATGTAAGATTGAACTTGAGAGAGTTCCCTGAAAATTGATAATACAAGAAAAAAATTAAATTTTATCAAATTCCCCTAGTATTACAAACATTAAAAATATAAATTTATAAATTTACAATTTGCAAAACATTACATTGTTCAACTTACATGTAGTATGTTAAGGACGGGGTATCCCTGTGTATTAAAATTGTATGTGTAGACCAAAAGTTAAATCGACAGTTTTCCGAATATGTAGTGTTTAAAAATCTAATTTTTGGCCAAATTCCAAGTAAAGGTTGAACTTAGGTCACCTTACTATTGAAAATTAATAAATTTATTATTTTCAATAAAAACCAATCATGTAAAATAACCCCCTTTTATTTCATCTCAAAGGTGCCGTCTAGAATTATTTTAACCTCGATGTCAAACAAATAATAAAAAAAAAATGTAATACGACCTAAGTTCAACCTTTACTTGGAATTTGGTACACTCAGAATATTTAAATATTGTATATTTTTCAAAACGTGTAGATTTGAAATTTATAAGTCACTTTCTTTGAAAAAACATGTCAAAACGAATTTGGACCAAAAATGGCGTCTAATTTAACTCTAAATAAACCCCGAAAAATCAATAATTACTTCATGTAATGTAATAAAGATGGTGCTCCGATCGATAATATTTTGACTAGATTTGATTATTTCCGTTTATATTAAGTGTGTTTACGGGGGATATACGAGATGATAATACTGCCTCTGATACTGTTTATATGATACAATTGGAAACGGCCTTTTTTCATCGGCACTCTTTTTTCTGACCTTTTGACACGCGCCTATTTGTTATATGATGTATGATTATCGGTTATTTATCAACTAAAAGTATAGGAAATTAGTACATTGTGAATGATAATATCATTTTAATGCTATTTTTGAAACTAGTTCAAAAGTTGCATTTAACGATACTCAATGTTTCATTTTACCGTCAGTTTTAGTTTGACATATCCGTCATTTTATGTTTACAAAGCTCAGTTTCTATTCGAAAGTAAGAGAAACAGTCAAAATAAAATGCGAAAAACACTTTTTATCAATTTCGTTTATGTCAACTGAAAGCGACAATTGCTGAAGACGTAACAAATAAATTAGGTCGAGAAATAAAAAAATCTATACTATAAGTAACATACCATATATTATACCTGTTAAAATAAATCAAAAATAAGAGAACATATCGTTGACGTATATACTTTTCCATCTGTGTTTAGTGATTACCAATTGCAAATTACGTATGAACATGCTTCTGCGCAAAAAAAACCATTATTTCAAGTACTTGTATCATTAAAGTCCATTAAATTATAATTTTTATAAATTTGCTATATATTCCGAGTAAAATTTTTCTAATTTTTCAACCATATTTTAAAAAAAATGGGTTGAAAATGAATTTTTTCAACAAATAGTGGATTTTCATCTCCAGTATATACTACAAAGTAGCACAATTTTCTTTGAGCTATACCTAGCTGTCCTTGAATCTAAAAGTAGGTATATAAAATCATTATTAGAAAATCAAACATAAAAAGAATATTAATATTGTAGTATCATTTCTAGCACATTTCTTAAAAATCATGAATTATTTTAACATATTGAAATTTTTCACCTGGTAAAAGTAGTTATGGTTTTCTTTTAAATGAATGTCACATCTTCTATTTTTAAGCATGGAAATGGGTTTGAATATTAGGTAATGTGCGCCAATAATGTCAAATTATGACAATTCGCAGAAAACGTCAACTTTTTATTTAGATTTTAATGTGCAAAAGCCTACCTACTTTGGATATTGATCGTAGAAAAAATATATTCAGAATAATGAAACATTATTATTGTCAAATTTAATACGTAATATTATTTTTTAATTGCAAATATTTGAATGTTAAAATTATAGCGTTTATTTTTTTTTATTCAATGACGAACTCGAGAGTGATAGAAAAAAAATACTACCTACCTTTAATGCAGGAAGTCGATGTCAATTTATCCAAAAATAAAACTGATTAAAATGTACAATGAAACTCACTAGGACACTTGGCACAAATAAATCAATTTTCTATTAAAGAAAATAACACTTATTAAAAACAAACAGCACAATAAAACACTTCAGAAACGTGTGATGTAATTTTGAAAACTAAATACCCGTAAGCTTGTTTGTAAATTTATAGACTCTTAACTACTTCCCCTAGCCTTCATTAAGTATATTAAAAGTCGTGACGTCATATTGGCACAGATATACGGTAATGTGTTATTGACAATCAGGGAAATGTTTCTAGGAAATAACTACCTAAGATAAATGAATGTTAAATACCTACTCATAATATCTATTGTAGGGTTTTTGTACTTTAATAGGATAAATATTTATGCGGGCCTGGAAATTCCAGGAAATGACCGTCAAAATTACCCAAAAACATTAGGTTAGTACCAACATCAGATAACAGATAACTTCGGTATTTAACCAATTAATCACAATTAATATTCCTAAACATTTAAATGACAAAAACTTCCATCTTTAACCAATGAGAATATAGTTTTCATTCGATACTTCAAAATCACAATTTATTAATTAGGTAGAATAGTTTTAAAATATATTGCGAATTGCGACACGTCAAGCGTCCCACTCCGACTCAATGTGACGCAATTATTGTGGCAATATATTTTGAAACGACTCTATATTCGTGACTTGAAATTATAAACATCCCTCGTATTGCTACCCGTATATAAACCAACTTATTTGTTTTAGGAAATATTTATATTTAATGTGAGGCAAGATATCGTTTTTGTTGTTGCCATCTGCATAATACCTACCTACATTCTTTACTTTGGTCCAGGAAACAAAGTCAATTTTCGTTAAAAATAAAATGTAATAGGTAGGTAATACTTTATGAATAAAAGTATTGAAATAAAGTATGCTCATACTCCAAAATGAGTCTTAGAGTTAACATTTTTATAATATTATAAATGGCATATGAAACGATTGGACCGTTTTCACAATCGCGAAATATTTTTTTTATTTGGTAAAATTCCGGCAATTATTGAAAAATAGATTTTATGTTCAGGACTATTATTATGATCCTTCGAACTCAGCCTACTAAAAACCGGTTTATAATACAATATAATACAATATCCCCTAATAGCTAGTCGGTCGATATTTATAGTTACTTAAAGATTTCTGTAATAGTTTGCACTAATTCAATCTCTAGTCGGTAGGTAACAGCACCTCCTTGATTGAATCTAAATTGACATAATTTTGTTCAGAAATTCCTAGGAGACGCTGTCCTTAAGTAAATTTAAAAAAAATTAAGTTTTAAATCCTGTAATATTATCAGTAGACATAAGTTACTAATATCAAATATTCTCCCAAATTAAAATAAGAAAGATATTTGGTATTAAAGATAAAATAAAAAATATATATATAAACAATTTGTAGAATATCTTACAAGATGATAGAAAAAAAGAAAAAAAAATATATAAGATACAAGAATAGTATTAGTTAACACATATAAGTGGTAGGTATTTTAAAAATAATATTCAAAAATTAAATGTAACTTTAAATGTTATATTTAATGCTAAGATGATTTCCCATGTTACTAATAAAAATAAATACGATTTGGAGAATATTTAAAATATATTTATGACCTTTAAGAAATTTTGTGTCATCTCAGATTGAAAATAAATATTAATATCATGTACACAAAATGAAAAATAAATTAAACGTAAATAGGCAATCTTTGTGTAGGTATTAGTCTTTTTATAGCCAAGAAAAAAAACGAAAAATCCAAAGGCCATTAAAATTCGATTCTGCTAGTGCGACCTAATGACGACCACACACGGGATATTATTGATTGTTAAATGTCAACCTCTGAAACGATTTTCTTAATAATATCATTTTCCTTAGCAAATATTTGACCATTCCAGCTCCATACCTCCTTTTTACCATATTTATTTTTTGCCTTCATAAGAAGCTGATACCTTCTGTTTGTTAGATTTTCGTTAAGAAATATACCAGTATTCTTTAGGGTCCCCTTGGCTTTTAGAACTTCATACTTTTTTAAATAGGTTACAAAATCAATAATAATGGTTCTAGATTTATCCTGTGTCTTTTTCCCTAGTCTGTAGATATTAGATATATCCAAATTGCTGCATTTGATTTTCATAGTGTTGCTTATCAAATCAGTAGCTATGGAGACTAAATTTTCGTTGTAGCTCTCTTTCAAACCATCAAATCTTAGCATTTTGCTTCTTTGAAATGTTTCCAAATCATCCAGCTTATTATTTAGTATGAAAATGTCCTTTTCGTTGGTTTTAATTAGTTCCGTTATTTCTATTATTTTTTCTGATAGATTATTAACATTTTGATTCATTTTACTAAAGTTCTTATCAATTTTTTCTTCTAATCTAGATATAATTTTCTGACATACCTTTGAGACGAGTTGTTCTATTGCATTTTCGTCCATAATTCCACTTTGAGAATTATTTCTTGTGTTCTTCTGACTCATTATTTATTTAACGTGTATGGCCCACTATAAATCTATTAATTGCAATAAGTTCGTTATACACTATTTTTCTTACTTGAAACTACTACTGGTAATATAACGTGCACTCACAGTTCGAATATCGTAGATTTCACAATTTTTTACAGGAAATTTACCACTATTTTAATCAATTTCTCGGGAGCGCTTACTGCACAAGTCTCACTCAGTTGCCATGTTGTCGCGTATACATACATACAACAAATAATTTGTAATAACAATAATAAAATAAACAGATAATTAAGTATACTCAATTACAATAATTTTTATTTATGTATTTTTTTTAGAATGGTTTGGATGAGTGGCACACCATATTTTACATTGGATCATCAGTATACATAGCCAGTGGAATTGTATTTTGCATTTTTGGAACTGGAGAAACGCAACCTTGGAATGAAATAGAAGTAAAAAAATTAAGCTCTAATGGAATTGAAAATATTGGATTTGATGATATTGAAAATATAAAAAACGATGTTACAGAAAATACTAAAATATAACGATTTGAAATTTTTCTTTTTTTACTTTCCAAATAAAACAAATTTAGGTTTTCATTTAAAATTCGCGTTTCACGAAAAAAGCACCTAAACATTACGGCCCTTATTGTTTTGTGACTCTAAAAGAAGTAATCTAAAAAACAAGGTCACAAAACAAAGACAAAAAAGCTGCTCTATTGAATACTTTAAGGCTGGGTTTACGTGAAAATTGGCGCGAATAAAATGCTTTTTACATGCATCGAACCTGGCCGATCTAATTCGTTTAAAACGTAAATAATTTTGTGGGCTTTCAAATTAGTTGAGAATAGTTGAAAGTATCAGTTGAGTGGTGAAACAATTTATATTCCGAAAATCAACCGAAAAAGTACTCAAATCAATTATTGAAAATACAGTTCATCAAATTTCTAGAGGTGTTCGACGCCCAGACAGAGAACGCGCTACGTGTGACTAAGATAGCTATTGTACAGTCTGCTAAACAAGTTATTTTTAACCGACTTCAAAAAAGGAGGAGGTTATCAATTCGTCGCGATATTTTTTTTTTTTTTTTTTTTTTTTTTTTTTTTTTTTTTTTTTTTTTTTTTTTTTTTTTTATGTATGTTCAGCGATTATTCTTTAACACGGTGTCCGATTTCAATAATTCTTTTTTTGTTAAAGAGGGGGTATTTCAGGGGTGGTCCCACATAAATTTAGTCAAAATCTAATAATTGGGTCCATGAGAAAATCCTCAAACTCTTCATTTTTTATGTATGTTTAGCGATAATTTGTTAACACGGTGTCCGATTTCAATAATTCTTTTTTTGTTAGAAAGGGGCTACTTTAGGGGTGGTCCCATATAAATTTGGTCAAAATCTAATAATTGTATCCATGAGAAAATCCTCAAACTCTTCATTTTTTATGTATGTTTAGCGGAAATGCTTTACCACCTTGTCCGATTTATATGATTCTTTTTTGTTAGTAAGGGGGTACCTCAGGGGTGATCCCATATAAATTTGGTTAAGATGTGGTGATGGCATCTGCACGTTTTTGAAGTCGGTTTTTTTTAAATTTTTAATTTACACTTGTAAATAGTTTTTAATATTTTTAGGTAATTAAATTTTAAAAGTGTGGAATAGTTTAGGGATTAAATTGGTCTGATTGGACTTTCTTAGAACGTTTTTAAAAGCAGCTAAAGATAGTATGTAGAATTGAAAATAATTATTATGCCATAAAAGGTGTTTTGGAATTCCTTCAACCTTTTGAAATTGAGTCAGAAAATATAAATTTTATAGGATAGCGGAAAATACCTATAATTTTTTTGTAGGCCTTTGTAAATCGTGTAAATAGTTTATATTTTATTTCTACCTTATTAAGGAAAATGGTACCTATTATTAATAACGGTTGTTTCTGAAACATTACTAAAATTTTCGAAATTTTGTTTTTCTACAAAATAATAAACTATACTATTTAGAAAAAAAATTATTTCTCTTATAATTTTATAAAAAATAACAGGGGCATATTTACATTTCTTGATCTATTAAACAAAACGATAAATTATCTCGACGAATGACACCATGTTCTAGTACGGAACTAGCTTTACATTTTTGTTGGTGGTTTCATGGGTTTCATATCAATTTTTTGTAATACACCTTTCCCCTTATTCGATCATTTCGCATTACTCATGCGCGAAAAAGTGCGGGTCTTTTGAATCTAGTAATTTTTGAAGCAACTTATTTTCTCTCTCTCTCTCTTATCCTCCCCTATAGAGAATTATTGTTGTGTTGGCTACAACGGTTGTCCCCTCCATGGTTGTCCCTGTCTGTCATCGTTCCAATAACAATAACAGTGTTAGTGTATATTTTTGTTTAGTTTCATAGGAGTTTATAGAAAATATTTTTTGATTTTATAATCCCAAGACAATGCGTTGTTGTGTACCCACTTGTCCAAATTCTGGACCAAACAGAAAAACCGAACGTTTTTTTGCCATTCCAAGCAAAAATAATATAAAACATCTCTGGTTAGCAGCAATAAAAATTAATACTGACTTAATAACGGAGAATATCAAGGTAAGAATAATAAAATCTTACTAGTTGTACCAGGTCTTCAACAATACCCGAAACCCACGTGATCTGATAACCATCAAAAACCCATCGAAAGGGCCTGATTTGACGTAAAAGGAACTAAACTGAACTGTCAATCCTGTCAGAAATGTCACTGGCGTTCATTTGGGGACTGACAATATTTATATTATATTTGTTTACATTTTATAAACACCCTTAGTCCATTTTTCATTTAATATTAATAAAGCAATTAGTTATTTTTAGAGAATATTGGTGGCTTCTTTTTTGTTGGTAAGGACAAATTTATTTACTGTAACTCGTAAAAGTTAATGACTATATAATTTATTGTAGGTAATGTTATACTGGAACAAAATTATTCGAAAATTTGAGGAACATTTTCCAGGTGAATAAATGGAATGTGATTCTTTTTTGTCGTCATAAACAAATACTTGTTCAAAAAATCTGATGTGTCCAACACATGACTTTCCTATCTAGTTATTATAGGCATTTTCCGGTTATTTTGTACAACCTATTGCAGCATCTCTATAAATGTTTAGAGGATAAACTAAATATATACATTTTACACATACATCTACCTCGAAACATTTTTCTATAGATATTCATTGAAAACGAAAATACAGAAAAATTTAAATTTAGCACTTTTCCATTACGGACCATTTTAGAAAAATCATGTATAAACAAAAATTATAGAAATCGATATCGCAAACAACTTTTAGTTCAACAATTTTCATAAAAATCAGAATTTTGCACATTTTGTCAAATTTCTCGAATACGGACCATTTCAGGAAATTTTGACATAAAACAAAAATTATAGATAATAATATTAGAAGTAACTTTTATTTGAACAATTTTCTTCTCCAAACATAAATAACAGATATATTCCATAAAATATAAAAACGGCCTCCCATAAAGTACCCCCCCAGATGTTCCAACTTTGTCCAAAATCTAATCATTTCACGTCAGGCCGAAATAAACCTTAAGTTTAAAATTTAATGTTTTTTCCTTTATCCGTTTTTGAGTTTTCTTCAAATTTCGAAATTTACACATTTTCTCAAATATCTCGAATACGGTCCATTTTAGAGAAATTATGTATAGGACAAAAATTATAGAGAATTATATTATAAACAACTTTTATTTGAACAATTTTTATAAAAAATTATGTTTTTTACATTTTGTTAAATTTCTCGAATACGGACCATTTTAGGAAAATTTTGCATAAAACAAAAATTATAGATAATTATATTAGAAGTAACTTTTATTTGAAGAATTTTCTTCTCGAAACGTAAATAACAGATATATTCCATAAAATATAAAAATGACCACCTATAAAGTACCCCCCCAGATGTTCCGACACTGCCCAAAATCTAATCAGCTCATTGGACGCTGAAACAAAGCTTAAGTTTAAAATTTGGTGTTTTTCTGTGTATCGGTTCATGAGTTATGCGTTATACAGACACACACACACACACACAGACACACAGACACACAGACACACACACACACACACAGACATCATCGCGAAAATAGTCAAAACGGATTCAGGGGACCTCAAAACGTAAAAATCCGTCGAAAACTCGAGGTCGAAAAAAATCATGATTCCTATACTTTCCTTATATCTGTATACAGATAGGAAAGTAAAAAGGAAAAAGGTCTAAAATGCCCAAAGTAATAACAAAAGCTGTTGAAGATGTGCAAATTAACATGTTGTAAATTCCCAATAAATTAGTAAAAAAAACAGCACCTCAAACAGGTATGAACGGTGTTTTAAAGACTGACTCTGGCGAGTGAAATTCAAAACGTATTTTTTTTTTAGGTTCATCACTACGAACTAGCCATAAAGTTAAAAAAAAATTCTGATAATGCATCCCCTATAAAGTTTCGATACTGCAACAATCATTTTACCTTAATTTTGTTAAAACTACATATGGAATATTACAGATCGCTCAATTCAAAATCGTTTGTGACGTTTATGAATTGGAGCACCTATATTGAATGATATACAAAATATAACTGAGGAGAAACTGCATAATGTGTTCAAAAAAGAAGGTTTAATGCTTGCATTAAAGCTGGTGATTAAGATTTTGAACAGATAGGTACTGTGAATTAGTATGAATTAGTTTGTGCACCACCGATTACTACTCAATATCCTTTTAAATAAAATAGTTGTTAATAGATATGCCTTTATAATTTAAAGTGAGAAGTAACAATGTATTTTGTAAGTCCTGTAACAAATAAATAATAGAACAAACTTAAATTATGTGTTTATTACTTCCCATTATCCAGGTTCAATTCCAGTAAGTCTTAAATTTGTTTACTTTAATTGCAATAATTGCCAAATACTGCCATTGTCTTCTGCCTATCGTATTTAGAGTTTCAGCTGTAGCTAAATATCTTAGGACCGATTCCACCGTTGTGTTAAACGAAGTTTAAAATGACATTTTTACATTAACAATGTCATTTTAATCTCCGTTTAACACAACGGTGGAATCAGCCCTTAAAGAGTCAATCTAAAGTAAATAATTTTTAATTTTATTCATATTTTAATGCATAACATTTTTATCCATAACTTTTTTGTGCCCTGTTCTGGTAAAGGTTTTTTTTGTAGTAGAGACAATAACTAGTACGAACCATATTTCAGTTTAGTATTCTTTTCGTTAAATACAAACTAGATATAAACAGCTCAGTTTTTAAGGTTATGTTATTTATATCATAATTTTAAAAATTAGATAATTGAATTTGATTAAATCTAATTAAAATATCGAATTCTAACATTAAAATACAATAATGTAAAGCACCTCTAATTAATATTATGAATTTGTGTTGTAATTCTAACAGTTACCTAACTGAATTTTGTTCTCGTAGTTGCAGACCATAAAAAAGATCTATTTTCTATTTGTAATAAAATACCTACGGCACTGGCTCAAATTTAGGGATTTTTACTTTTATTTTCACCAATCG